AACTGCTCACACTGCCTCACGAACCCCAACAATCCCAGGGTCCCCCTGTTGACCCCATATATACATTAAGGAAAGAGGGGGATGTCGGAATTGTATTGCTCGAACCACCTCGCGGAACTCCCAACAATCCCAGGGTCACCCAGTTGACCCTATGTATCACTTGGTACTACAGTGATGTAGAGTCAACAAGTCTTTAAGATGCACACACTTAACAGAAGAGAAAATACCACAAAAACAAGAAAATGTACACATCAAACTAGAAAAAATATTAAATATTGGATGTACATTATTATAATACGTTACGGTTGATCAGAGTAAAATAGAAACCTCAGTAAACTCATAGTTTCACACTAGGGAAAAGGACAAACATGGCAGCTGCATCATGGGACTAGAAGGCGCACTACGGTTGATCAGAACTTCCGTGAATAGAATCAGACGCAAAGGAATTTGCGCATTTAGTGACTGTTTGGCTTAAATTGAAAGCAGAAGATTAAAGACGAGAATTGACCTGATGTGATGATGACATCATTAGGTGATAAGTCCTAAAAGTACATGTCTGATTGGGTTCAAAACTTGGATATTAAGGATGAAATCATATTACCATAAGGTTCGTGCTGTAGACTAGTTGCTCAAATCTACAAAAGAATGCGAAAAAAACATTTGCTCTGTTGGCAACAGACAGATACACTCTAGTTCTCTTTTCCTTTTTCAGACTTAGAGTTTGTACACATTCTGTTTTCACTTCTCCAGTTTAATACATCTACATGTAAATGACTTCAAGACAGCAACCATGTTGAAGAGTGTCGAGGACCCACCCATCGGACGTTATTTCCTCCCAGAATCCTGCAAAAGTTAGAAGACAGCCGCCAACGGGTTTGGGATTAACGACCAAAGAAGGGGCAGAAGAGTCACCAAAGTTGGGAACTGAAGAAAGCTGGAGCTAAAGAGCGTGACTGTTCCCAGGCAGGTTGCAAAGGCCAACGAGCATGTCTAGGAGTCCCTGTAGGATGATGCACCGGAGGAGCAGAGTATTGCGAAGCCTTGAAGGAGCTGGATGAGAAACATGAGAATGAGAGTTGGACGGTTCATGAAAAGAGATCTTCCGAGTATTGTCGATCCACTGGACCTCACTTTCAAGAAGAGATTATCTTTAGCAAACAGGGGAAGACTCTTGAGAGTGGAATTAACACACTCGTGGGAAATATTTATAGCCAGAATAGCCGATTTCCTATGGGAAGCTGTAGCACAAAGAGATACCATGGCAAACTGCTCAAGCCCTGTAAGCATGGAATCATCCAGGCAGTGAAAGGCCATGGTCACAAACTCAGGTGAAATATTGGAACCCTCCTTGCAAGCCAGGGACAAGAACTCAGTCGGGAGGAGGATGCAAGACATGCAGCGAATGCTAAGTCAACATCCTTCAGGACCAACTCCATTCGCTGAAGATTCCTATCTGGGTGTTAGTGGGTGTTTGATGGGTGGCTGCTTTTTTAGGGGTGTTGGGTCCTGGGCTTATTTTAGCTTGTTATTGTACAATCTGTTGGTAATCTTTAGTCTTACGGGCATAGTATTTGCATGTTTCATTTATGTACCTGCCTGTTGAGATCTGTTTTACGATGCAATGGGCTTTAAAGAATAAATATTATTATTATTAAACTCTGGGAAGAGGGGGAAGACGAGGTCTCTTCAGATAAACGACGCTTGAATGAGGGACAAAGTACAGTACTGGAGCAAATAAGGACATCGCATGGTCTTACCTCAGACCGATCAAAAGGGAAGGAATAGTAAACTTACGCACTGTCCCATTCCCTTGGTTCACATGGACCAAAACCACCACAAAACACAAAACAGAAATTGACAAGCAAAACAACTCACAGAATAACAAGACAACTGCTCTCAAAGATAATATGATAACCAACAAAAATATACACAAAAAGTGCCACAACTATGGGGAAGTACAATAGAAGGTACATGTATATACAGATAAGCAATTGGAATAAGCAGAATAAAGAGACAAATGTACTCAATTACATTCTGAAATCAACTAGAATATACATAAAAGAAAGCAAACAGCACCACTAGGCAAGAACCTCGAAAAACACAGATACAAAAACTAGGTCAATACAAGGGTCAGTCTGCCAACCTACGCAAGACTGAGAAAAGAACGACAAAATATATATATTTACGAGGGAAAAGGAACAGTCTTACTGTTCACAAAAACGAGAAAGAACAAATAAATATGGTGATTGAGAAATGACACTGAAACACAAAGCAGCGAAGGAGAAACTCTCAAAAATTTCGGAGCCAGACAAAAGTCATCCAATAGTAATGGCGCTAAGAAAAAGAGGAAAAAGAGGAAGAACGTGATGGCTGCGGGAGTCAAGCGATTGATGAAACACTACTGGTCATTGAGAATTTAGCAAATAGAAGTAATGGACTGGGAAATAATGCATACATGTACATGTATGTATTGGTAATCTGCGTAGGTTGCAGGCAGTAGACTAGCCTATTTAGCTTACAAGATTACTCTGGAATGTTTAGGGATTCAGCCATGATCTATCAGATCCAAACTGTAGCATTCAAGCCTGCATCTTCAGATAATGACTGCCTGCTGCATTACTTTCTAAAAAGAGGTCAATATTGCTATTCAGTGCACCAACCAAACCAATGAGATGACACAACAAACACTTCCAACAATGAATTGGAAAACAGGACCATACACAAATTCATTATCCATCACAGACAGCAATTTTTTTCACTGAACTGATCCTCCTTCAAACATGGCTATTATCATTAATGGAAACTTCTCCCTTGCCAACTGGTGCTAAAATTGCAAGTACAGTTGACTCTCGTTATTACAAAATCGGCTACAATGAAATAACAAACACACATTTGTAGTCCTGGTAAATATGGGCACATTTCTATGGGGAGAAAATCTGTTACAACAAAATCGCATTGTACGAAATTCCTATCATGCCTGTTAAATGAAAGATTTTTGTGACTTTGTTGCATGAAAAACCATTGTTGATGGCCTATTTATAACAAACATTTACAAATCGCAGTGGTTCAAGCACGTGCGCAATGCACAACACTGGTTCCCGCCAGGCACAAGCTGAATCGCTGCCAAAGAAGGCATAACGGATGTAACAGTTTGCTCACTTTAGGGCCACTGTAACTAGAAGGATTAGATGCAGGCCGGAAAATGATTGTAACAAAACACAATCTGTACTATTCACAATATTTGATATGAATTTATTCACAAAATTTCTCTATTCTATCATACAAAATATACACAATTCAGTATTTACAATCAGATGTCTCTCAAGTGAGTGTAGCTACAACTCCGTGGTAAAATTAAATTAAGTTTATCAAATGAATGTGTCTATTCACACACGCATGAAAATCAGCATTTGCAATTCAAGTACTTACAGGTAAGTATGTGTGAATTCAAATTTCAAATTCACTGTAAATTCACAAATCTAGTGCATCAAAGAGATATATACTTGATAGTTCTCAATCCGTTGTAATGTAATGCTGTAAAATTTCAGCTCTGAAAAGCACTTCAAAATAAAAGAAATATCAATCGAAATTTCTCCAAGGAAAATCAGTATTCGAAAGAAAAACTTCCAAACAATGTCAGTATCACTTCAATGACTTTACCAGGTATGGTGGAATTTAGTTCATTAGGCGAAATGCCCAACAAATTGCAGTATAAACTCCGGAGACAACAAGGTACATGTAGATTAAAAGTATGCAATAAGCTGGAATAATCTGAAAGACTCAAGGCATGTAATAGAAGATCTTTAACTCAAAACTTGCAAGTGTTATCACTACATCTGCTCTCAATTTTAAAATGTCTGACATACAGTTTGATGTAATATCAAATTCGTCCCTCCTTGATTACAAGAAACCGCCTATGCTAGCTTGGAATGAATTCATGAAGAATTCTGACAACGGAAAGACACTGTGTGCTTACATGACCTACATTTTCCAAGACATAGCTATCCAATCACAATATTCCCTCGTTATCTCTTCAGCGACCGTCTCGCGTCCAGGCCAGGTGGGTGAGTGAATTCAGACAATTGATCAATTGTGGTCATGCAGCTAGTGCCAAACACCAAAACACTGACGGAAAATTAAATAAAAATGTCTCTCTGTGACACAATTTGTGTTGGAAAGACTACTTACACGGATGGGGGCTCCAGTTGATGAGTCTTCATATTCTTGAAGGTACACACAGGCCAACATGTGCATGCCGTTAAGTTAGCTTCGTCCTCATTCATGGCGACCAAAAGTCTTTTTAAAAATTCCTGGATTGATGCTTTCACATGTATTTGCTTTTTATCTCACAAGTTCATTATTCTTAACATCACAACATATTTAATTAATCATAAGTGAGAGATCTTTTAGACATTGTTAACATTAACCACATTCATGTGTACGCTTGTACATGTACAGTACATGTAAATGTACATTGTACATGGTATTGCACACAAAAGGAACAAGTACTCATACAATGCACTAAAGTCATTGCATTGCGTTCGGTCTACAACAAATTTCGGATACAACGAACATTTCTACCAGGTTCTGTGGATTTATGGTCCACTATAGTGCCATCACAAATCTTATTACTACTTACTCCTCAGTGGAGGTTTTTGAAAGAAACCATCGAAGTACCTAATGTCATGTTAAGTGGGGATGTTTTGATTAAGTTTTACTTTGTGAACAAACACATAGGCACTTTCATAGTTCTCTCAAAAGTTAACCTTCTGAGCTAAAATTTTCAAATATTTCTGTGACATGCAGGTTTGGATTTTTAATATGTTTCTTGAACAATTTTTTCTTTGCAAAGGACTATACAGCATGTACCTTGACCTGCATTTATAGGACAATGGGATCATCCTATATGAACAAATACCATAAGCTTCTTACTACGTACTTTTGACACTACATTTGATAGTAAACTACTGTTTGCACATAAGAAAGACTTAAACATTTACCATATTGTGTCCTTTCGCTTTTCTCCCAAATGTGTATTCCAGAGCAGTGGTTGGCTTTGGATGTTCTTCTTTCTCAAGGAATCTCAAAATAATGGATGTTTTTCCCTGGAACATGAAATAAGAATTTTTGAAAGATCAATTTTGTGTTTTACCTGTACAAGAGGAATAAGAAGTATGCGGTTGAGGCCTACTGCAGGGAATTAGAATGACAATTTCAAGATGCATTTTGCATTGGGGAGATGTTAATTTATATATTAAACGGGTTTTGCACTTACCCAACGTACATGTATATATTGATAAACACTGTATGCTCAGTGCTTGTCCGAGAGCTTGCAAAAAAATTCACAAGCTTACTCAGGTGGGACTCGAACCCACAACCTCCTGCTTACTAGTGCAGACGTCTTAACCACTCGACCACCGAGCTTGCCGGGGTCGGCTGGCCGGTCCGAGTCAGGTGTAGCAGTGGGTACCGCGAACTATTTCAAGATGTATTGTGCGTTGGGAAATGTTAATTTATATAACGGGTGTTGCCCATACATTGGGTAAGGGCAAAAACCCGTTATACAGAATGACAATCTTCAGTTCATGCCCAAAACTGATAAAAGGAGACATGAAACAAGATTTTTAAGTCTTTAAAACAGAGGAAAGATTTCTTTAAGACACCATATATTCGCATCTCCTTTGAAGCAGTGACAGGTTAAAAACTTCAACTTTTTTTTTGTACTAATGAAAATTTCCATAATTGAGAGCTAAAGCATAACGTCATCCAAGGCAGAAGAGAAGTGTCTCCCAGCTCTGTGTACAAACGCATATTACACTTTCCTTAATTTCATTGTTATAATTTCTAAATTTTGCTTGTTAATTGTGATTAAGCTGCCTGTTTAGACAATAGATATGGCCTATATTTCTTTACAATATTTTCAATAGGTAATTTTGATGGACAATATGCTCTTCTGGCAAGGAGCCTATTGTGTGCAAAAAGCAAAATAGCACCTTCTAAAAGTATTGATGAAAGATTTCTCAAAATGGAATAACTACCATCTTTTCGTCACTTCCAATGAAAGATGCTTATAAATCTTGTTTGTAGTAGTAATTTGTATGAAAACAAGTTAAGCTGAATTTGGAATCACATTCATTCACAAGTTCAAGTATGGGAGAAAGGTATATGTACATGTAAATCCTTTCACGTATGTTTTTGGCATGTTTGGTGTAGTTAGGAAAACTAAGTGAAAAAAATATTTTTGAACTGTGAACACAATTTGAGCTACATTGTTTTGACAATTTCCTTGGCTAGTCCTTCTCATTTTGTTACAATAACCTAACTCTAAAAATGCCTCTTAGCCAAGTTTCTAGAAAGGAGTTAACCTTGTGTGGACCTGGCTAAGTCCACACAAAGGTTAGAACAACCTGCATTATATTGGTCACTTGTATTTGCGTCTCCACACTACTACTCAGCAGCTGGTCCACATGGCCATCTGTGGACACATGCACATTCATGCAATGTTAAAAATGATACAAACCGTGAGATATTTTGGCTGTTGTTCCATCAAGAGTGTGATTTGCCTCAACTTAGAGATTAGCAGAATTGATTTGTCTTTCAATTTTTGTAAGCAAATATCCTGATGATTTAAATCTACAGTCTACTTTGGAAAATAATGCACCAAAAAATGAGGTTCAACAAGGCTTGAATTCATACTTTTTTCATAAAAATAATTCTCGTACTAAAAATCATCCTTAAAATTATTTGATTCCATCAAATTGATCAAGCAACTCTTGAAAAAGTGTTATTGATCCAACTATAACAATTCAGTAGTACTCACGGCACTTTTACTGCCCATTAAGATGATGGTAGATTCTATTCCAGCCTGTGTTCCTTCATTATCCTCTTGATCTATTTTTTAAAAAGTTGTTGAAAAGTGTCAATCTCTAAGTTATTTAAGCAAAAAACAAATAAAACAAAGAAAAAATATCTGATGCAACAGATTCACATACTCATGACAATGTTTTCATTATCTGTAAAAGTGTTAAACCTAAGATGAACATAATTTGCTGCCGAAGGGGCGGGGGACAATATTCAAGATAATGTATGTAATGAGTGTTGGTCCCAGCATTGCCTAAATATCTCATCAATTCAAAGACACACACACATCAAATACTGTAAGCCAGTTCAAAATGTATACTTTTGTCTGGCAGTAAGTAGGATAAATACATTTTGTTTAGGGAATAACAGAGTGATGGGTAAGTTTTAAACGAGTGAGTTTATGCCAGGAAGCGGCACAGTGACATTTATGCAATTCACATTTGGTTAGGTCCCTAGGCCATTTTTGCTAGGGACCCTCCTTAATCCTCCAAGGGGGGGTAAAATATTGAATTCTCTTTCAATCCTCCAAAATTTCTTTAAAATGTTACTTGGAGGTGTTGCTATTGCTTCAAGCCTTCAAAATCCTTCGGCAATTCCTGTCATTATGTTGAAGCAGTGTGAATGGTATTCTTGAGCAGTGCAGTTGATTCAAAAGAAATATTGAGCTGAATTTATGCACGATTGGGCAAGAAAAACACAAAGTCTAACCCATGACCTTCACTCATGGCATCCTTAGCAAATCAGCCATGCACTTTTGCCATTCACCCTCAATCCTCCCAAATCCTCCAAAACCACCCGAAGGATTTTGGAGGATGAAGGAGGGTTAGGGTTAATGAACCTCACTTTTAGCTTTGTCCATAATCCCACCAGGCCCTCCAAATGCATGTACAGTACTACCCTTTACCTACCAATTACACTTTTATTCCCATTCCTAAATATGTAGGCTAATATGGTCAACAACATTTTTTAAAACTTTGAAAATGTAAAAAACCTTCCAGCAATTTTATTTTACAATTTTGAGTTATGTTACATCATATTTTCGGCCATCAAAATCTTGTTTATGCCACTTTATCACTTGATATATGGGAAAAGAAACCCGACCAATGTCCGCTGCGGTTCTGGGAATATTAAGTTGTACACTGTTAACAAAATACATCCACATCATTATTTTCATTTTTCATGCTCATGTTAGAATTCAGTGTTTTCTCACACAGCACTACTGCATGCACAGTCTCTCCCCTGAACATGCAACCACTTTACACAAAATGTTGTCAATGTCATCATTTCAAGCTGGAGCGCAAATCGCCCAGTGAGACCCAATATTGAGAGGGGACCCAGGGGTGGGGGCCTTACGAGATTTGGCCACCCACCTCTGCAAGCAAGAGTTTTCCTTAACTTTTAAGTCATTATCATATTATCCTAAACATGTTTCTTCTACTCAATGCAAATTTTTAATTAAAGTGCAAAGAAAATCCGGAAGCCAAGGGGCATAATCTGTATACCTGATTGCTTGGAAGAACAGTTTTCAGTACAGCTGAAAACTGCTTTCAATATAAGAATCTAATACGTGTTTATCAATTTATCATCTGCGACACAAACAGGTACGGTACACACATGGGTTGCTGTCATTTTTTAGAAGCTTCGCATGAGCACACATAAAACCCTTCTGAAGGTAGCATGAGATACAGTACGTCTGGGTGCTCCTATGCTGATCACAATAATCTCAGCGGTGTATTAATAGTCTGGTGTCACTGCATGAGAACACGAATACACATGTATGCCACACAAATATGTTTACGTTCCACTCCACCTTCATTGTCTCAAAAGGTCCTACTCCTTCATTTTGGAACAATCTCACAATTATTTCGATGTCCGATGTAAGTTTTAAAGTTTATGCCTCTAATAGTATTTTCTGCACGTTATCACAACTCCTTGTTTCAATGCATTTGAGACAACACAAAGCAAGCTTACGTATATCTTCTTGCATGCCTGTTGTGCATATCTCCCCATTACGTCATATCAAATAAACACACAAACAAAATCTGAAAATTTGATGGATGTTCTTACTTCTTCCAGCTTAAAAAATGTCAAGTAAATTCTGGAAGGTAAGTATTCCTTACCTCGAAAGTGATCCTCCATTTGGACTGACTGTTCAACTTCATGAATTGCAAGGTCCCACAAAATATTGTCTCTGTTGATGAAATAGTCATGCACAGTATATAATGTAAGAATAATGAATCATAATTAATAACTCTGTTGAATCATAACATTGAAGTGTAATCCCATATTGACTCAGCGTTCTTCCGCAATTTGTCCACATTCTTGCCAATAAGTCTGCCATTGCCAAGGAGGGGGAAAATCCGCAGACTGGATGCGGGTGTGCACTCACACATGGCAAAGTTTAATGAGCAGGTCTGGCTATACATTTGTACGTCTTTGTCATTGAGACAATGGATGCAAAGAATAAACATGGCGATCACACAACACATGAATACGAACAGACACAGCAGACAAAACGCACTGCCCAGTATCCGCTCCAAGTGGAACAAAAGAGGGCATGTTTTGGGGGGGACTCGCTACAATGGCGTGTGTTTATAACGGAGATCAATGGTAAGTTTGAGGTGGAGCACGCTGAGTACGAGTAACGAATTTATTCCTTAATGTATGGTCTTTGCGCTCATGCTGAATGCGTGCAATAACCCAATTGGAAAACTTACAACCCATCTTTCTTTTGCTGCTTGGAGGTGCACTTCAACTCAGGGAAGATACAGCCTTGTTTTTGAAATGCCAAAAAGAAAATTGGGACACCTTTACTTTTTTGAGTTGGCAACATCATTTTTCCAAACCTGTGATTAAACCTGAAGGCAGGTTCACTGTCAGTTTGAAAGCCTGCAGTGTGCAAATGTTGGGCTTATTTTAACTTGTTTGAATACTGCAGCTGAAGCACAAACCATTTCAAGTGAATTCCGCTGATGAGCTGTTTTGTGATATTTGCTTCCAGGGTTCTCCCCAAGATTTTCCAAAATGTGTGGGGCATTTGTTGTAGTTCACTGACAATTGTGAAGCCACAGCGTGGGAAGCAGGCCCCCCCAAAGAGCTGTTTTGGGAAACACTTTCAGTTAGATTTTAAACTAGAGCTCATCTGTCTGTTGGCCAACAGAACAAAGGGCTTTTTCTCATTCCTTTATTAATTTGAACAACCAATCTACTGCCCCTGATGGCGTAATTATTTCATCATGACCATTTGGGTCCAAGGTTTCAATTTTAACTCAATCAGGCATGCACTACAGGAAATAACTTGTTTTAAATAAAATGTAATTTGACTCCCCATTTGATGTGTTCATCACATTAGGTAAATTTTTGTCTAGAATACTTCCTTTCCTTGATATCTGCAAAGTTTCAAATCGATGGGATGTGTACTTCGGGAGATATGGTGCTTTAAACAGTGCACCTTTAATGTCACCCGACTTGTCACCTGATGACGTCATCATCACATCAGGTATTAAATCTTCGACTACAACACTTCCTTTTCTTGTTATCTGCAAAGTTTCATCTCGATGAGATATGTACTTCAGGGCTGAATGTTTAAGGTCACAGGACTTGTCACCTTGTAACGTCAACATCGAATGAGATGAATAATCGTCTAAATCACTTCCTTTCCAAGATATCAGCAAGATTCTAACCCAATGAATATATGCTTCAGGAGATATACATGTACATGTAGAGTTTTAAACAGTGCACCTTTAATGTCACGTGACTTGTCTCCTGATGACATCATCATCACCTGAGGTCAATCTCAATTTATATGCATTCCCTTCCTAACTATCTGCAAGGTTTCAACCCAATTAAACATGTACAATACAAATACAATACACAACATTATTGTTATCGAGGAAAGAGCACAGATTAGAGATTTTAAACATTTGTCCCTTTTAGCGTTCCATACAATATGATCTGTTCTAGGCACCATGTGCTCAGCATTTTGCCAGGTCCTGAGTACATGCCCTGTGCACTGTGCACTGCCGGCCACACGTTACAGGCAGATATTGAGCATCCACACAAACAGCAGCCAATCCATGGTACGCAAAAAGGATTTTTGAGTTCACAAATATTTTAAGGGGCTTTCTTCGTCGGCGTTTCATCTGTGTGAAGAAATACACCACTTATGCACTTCATGCAGTTGACTTCAATGTTTTACCTATCATCTAATAAACAATTCATGCTTAAATCTATTACGGTTGATTTTTAACCGAATTTTGAAGAATAAAAGAATTTTTTATCATAACTTCGGATCTGATGACGTCATCAGCCCCAAATTTCACACATACATGTATGTTGTCTGGGATAAGATCATTGTCTACATCAATTTCCAGGCAATTCGGACAAACATCACCACAGACATCCATTCAAAATTTCATTGTTCAGAATTTTTAACCTGTTGCTAGAGGGAGCTCGACAATTACATGACATCATCAGTAGATGATTTGAAGACTGCTATACCCCAACAGACTAACACCGTTGAAAACGACTTGATACCTATTACCAATTTTTAATTAATCAAACAATAAGCCCACTTCCGGTTTCAACCAGAAGGAAGGGTCATGTGATTTGACCCACACGAGATGAATTGAAGACCCAATTTTTCTCTAGCACTTGCCGCAAACCGAATGCTGCAGGAGGCCACGGTTGACTTTATATGAATTTTTACAACATTAACATAATATTTAAATATTCAAAATTCAATAATAAATCACTTGATGACATCATCATGATATAAATATTTCAGAATTATCTTCGTTTTATAGTTAGTGCTTGCTGTAACTTTGATGATGATCAACAATTACTAAGGTACCACAATAGTGCACAAATTGAACAGACTTTTGGTCAGAAGATGAAAAAGAAGAAGAAGGAAGGAAAAAAAAAGAACAGAAAGAATGTCTTTTTCGTAAAATTGCGAAAAAGCCAAAAGTGAAGTTGGAATGGGCGGGAATCAAACAGCTTTCGTGAAGTATGCAGTTTAAAATTTAACACATACACTGCACACACTACAAGCATGGCCCAATCGGACATGCACTTCACAAGATACAATGCTTTTACCCACATTCAACAGGCCACAATCAAATTTAGGTTTGCGTGTTTAATAGCTCCATGGTGGGATCACTACCCTCCTTGCTACAGCAGTAACACTACATGCTGACTGCTTTCACTAAGGGGTGCACTGAACCAATTCAAGCTCCATTGAAAATAGTGTAAAATCAACCAAGTTTGGAGCCCCAAATCACTTCCTTTCCAAGATATCAGCAAAAATCAACCAAGTTTGGAGCCCCATGGCAGGCAACTGAAGTCCCTGAGGCCTCTCAAACAAAATATAATGTGTTGTTTGGTCCCTCAGATTTCATTCGATTTTCAATTTTTAGTAGGTTAACCAATGAATTTTTTAATTATCCGCCCAAAACAAACTCACCCCCTAACAAGTGAATGCTGCCAAGCCCTCCCAG